TTTAATTTCCTTAATGTTGGCAATTAATAAGAGCTTTCCAGAAATCTCCACAGTGCAGAGAGTTACCGAAAGGAAAATAAATTTTTTTTTTCAGTATCCTCGGTACCATTCCACAAATGTCTGTACAACAGGGACATGTCTTCCTTGTCATAATACTGATCCAGTTCAGGACTCTGGACCACACTCCCAGATCTGAGATATTCTGTTTTCGAAAGAGAAAACACTAGAGCATTTATACACCTACCCTATACAGTTGCCATGACGACTGCCACCTTGCTGCCAAGAAAGGCCTGCGACTCAGATGAAAGGGGCCATGTGTATTTGTGGGCGCCCACAAGCACTCACCTCAAAGGCCCTCTTCAGGGAGCGGGGGTGAACACACCACCAGAGCAAGACCTGCACCTCCCGCCCCCACCCCAGCCCCGCACCCTGGTGTCTGTCACCTCATTTCTCTGGCGCTCGGGAGACACGGCAGATGAGGTGCAGTTAGATTGGCGGGTGAAAATCTCCCCAAGTACCAGCAGCCTAAACCGACCCATTCACTACGCGGCTACGGGCTATGAAAACGTGGCGTCCACCCCATTTGGGGCACAGCTTTAGGGGGAAGAAAGGAGACTTTTTTAGCTCATGGAAGGCGTCAAATGATCAGGTTTTCACAACTGAGAGGTCCCGTGGTGACACCAGTGGTGCCTACACACTTGGAAATGCGTGCTTCCCTCCGCCACCCGGTGAGGCAGCGTCACCTTTGCGATCAGGTTAATCTGGACGAGGAGGAATGAGACCGAGAACCCCCGTCCCAGACCGCCGGGTGGCCTCGTGAAGGCGCCTGAGCAAGTCTGGGCTGCACGGGACTGGACACCCCTGCAAGTCCGACCCTCCTGTGACTGTGCTTTTGTCAAGCTCTGACCCTGACACCGAAGTGCCAGCAAGGTTCGGGTGACACCGACAGGCGTGTGCTCCCAGACTGCTGCTCCGTCAAAACCATGGTAGGAAACGCTGTCAAGCACACACCCCGAGGCGGGAAAGAGAAACGAGGACACTGGTTTCCCGGGGACACAAGCGTGTGGGAGGAAGCGGCGTCTGATGGCAGGGGTTCGATGCCTGCCGAGCCTAGGGGCACAGAGGGCACGGGAAAGGCACCAGGCAACAAGGACGGGGCGGCAAGGAGGTGGCGATTCCCAGGGAGAACAGCATCCGGGGCAGATGGATGGGGGAGGGGGCGCAGTTTTAGCGCAAAAGGAAGGAAAGCGAGCTGTGCCGAGGGAAGGCTGGCTTGCTGCAGGTGGCACCGAGTCAGATGGCGGAGGGCTCCCTCCTCCATCAGGAGAGGCCCTGCACAGGTCAGAGCAGGGCAGGAAGGGTGGTCGTCGGGACAGGAGTCGCACCGAGTCGGGCAGGGAACGCGTCCCTCAGGGCCGGAGCGGGTGGGGTCCCCCGCTAGTCAGAGCAAGTGAGGCTCCCGCGAGGCGGACGGGGGTAAGAGCCGCACAGCCGAGGGGGCGGGTGGCGCCCACCAGGCAGGAGACGGGGGCAGCTTCTCAGAGTCAGAGGGAGGTGTCGCCCCGGTTTGAAGGAAGAGCGGATCTAGGGGGACAGCGCGGGCGGCCGCAGGCGCAGCCTTCACTCACCCGGTGCGGGCTGGTTCGGGGTCCCGCGGATGCTGGGGCCTCGCTGCGGGCAGGGCCGGGACCGAGCGGGCGGCCGACTTCCGCCCGGCGCGCTCGTCCCGCCTCCGGGCAACACGCTCCCGGCAGCCTCTGCTCTGCGGCTGCGCGCCGGGCGCGTGCGGGGTGCTGCTGGGAGTTGTAGTTTTTGATGCTCAGTGATCTGGGCCGGGGGAAGGACTTGAGGGCTGTCTGCGCTCCCCACCCGCAGGCCCTTTTTACAGCATTATTCGGGAACGTCGGCCAAGCAGAAATGGAAGGAGGGGGGCGGAGGTGAAGGCTGCTGGGGAGGGGGATTATCATTCCTCGAGCTGAGATTATAGGACCCCTTCCCTGGAATTCTGGACCCTCGTCGTCTCCCCGGAGGCAGAGAGGCACGGACCCATTTCTGACACCCTCATTCTCAGAGAGCCCCTCTCCGTGGCTCTTCTAATCGCCTACGCCTGAATGTCAATCAGTTTCCAAAACAAAGATCAGGGCACAGGTCTGCAGGCTGGAGCGGCCTGGGCTGGGGTTCCCCTAACTTGCAATCAACGAACCCCATTCCAAATATGGGNGAAGCCATCACTCCACTCTCTTGCTTTCGGGCAGATTCTTAGGTTTTGGCCACAGGCTCAGGTGCACAAAAGTGGCCTCTAAGGACCAGTGAGGCAGGTGGGGCCCGCTGCCCTGAGTGAGCCGTGGGGGGGCGTCCCCCTCCCCAAGGAAGCGGCTCCCACCTGGCCACAGAGCCGGTCGCTGAGGACTTCGCACTGGGAGACAGTGCCAGCCCGGCCACTGCCGCCCGGCGTCATCACAGCCTCATTGCCACTGAGCTCTCAATTCTACATCTCACCTCCTGTTCAGAATTCTGCCTGGATTTCTAACACGCGCTCTGGACAAAGTATTTCAAACCCAGGTCATACTCCCCTCTCTCCTCAAACCCACCTGCCCTACCTTCCCTCAGGAATAGTGGTGGTGACAGGGACGACCACATTCATAGTTGCCCAGGTCAAAACTTTCACGGAAACGCTAGGAGATGCACTTTCCCGTAGGAATGTCACACATGGCGTCGAGCACCAGGTATGACCCATCACCACCAGGAAACCGCGAGGCACGGCCCTGGCCTCCTTCGCCAGCACCAACCCCAGCAGCAGGCGCTATCCGGCCGGCCGGCCCCCTCCTCCCCACGGGCTCCCTCTGCTCCCACGGCCCCTTCTCGCCCGAACCCCACACACGGCCTCCCTTTCCCCTCTCCCTGGCAATGCACTCACCTTGCAGCCGCGACACCTGCTACTCAACCGAGGCCATCGGGCCGTGTCACCACCTGCTTTCATAGCCCTACTCTAAGGGTAAACTCTCGCCACTAACAAGGCCTTGCCCAGACCTCCCAACCCCCCGCCAAGCCCACTTCTCTGCTTGGCCCACTGTGGCCCTTGTCCACTCAGGGCAGGACTCTCCGCCCCCCGCCTGAACACTCAGCCCAGCCTCTTCCCATGGCTGCTCCCCTCCCCCCATCTTCCATTTACTGCGTTCCCTAATGATGTCCACGCTGCCTGGGCCCCAGGGGCAGGGGCTGGTCCCCGCCAGCTCACACTCCTGCCTGGTGGAAATTCAGGATACATCTGCTAAAGGCATGAAAACTACACCCACTTCCTCCACAGCCCCATAACTCCCGGTCCCCACCTTCAGTACACTGGACCCAGCCCCAAGGTCAAGCTGCCGACCTGTCACACAGCTGCTGTGCAGCAGACACACGCTGCCAACGTAGACTGGTGTCACCAGGGGGACATGTCATCCTCACTGCCCCATAGACTCCCTCTTTGATCCTGAGTCACCCCCGTCACCGTCACAGGTGCTCTTGTCACATCCCCTGGCAGTTGGTCCAGGGGGCGCCCGCACGCCCAAGCCTCCCATGCACCAGGCTGCTGACCCTGGTCCAGGCCCCCCTCCTGCTGCCCAGGGTCAGGTCAGTCACTCCTGCTTTTCTGGTTCCTTTTTCACAGTCTACACACGTGTCCAAATCTCCCACCCGAGTCACCGTCTGGTCTCCAGATTACACGCTTAGGTCAGGTCAGGAACTACCGTGGACGAGTGGTGAATCCGTGAACCTGACTGTGGAGCCCCTGACACCTGTCCTTCCCCACCCCCACTGTCCTGGAAGACCATCACCCTTCCGCCCCTCCTGGACGCTCAGTGCCAGGTGCTGCCCGCGTCCCAGAGATGACCAGCGAACAGGCCTGTCCCTGAGGCACGTCCCTGGGGGTACCCCACTGCGGGTCCTACCAGCGGGTTCAGGCAAGATACCTGGGGACGCTCTCTGCAGTCTTCCTTCCTGGCCGCCCACCTCTTTTCCTCAACCCACCCCAACATCTCCAGGGACATAGCCCCTAGTGAGGTCCCCACACCTTTCGGGCCTGAGCATTTCCCCTGAATTCCAGGCCAGCACGTGCAGACACCTGGAACAGGCTCCCTCAGAAATTTACTGACGGGGCTGGGGCACCGCCCTCCCCCCCAACCTCCCTCGCTCTCCGTCCTCAGAAGTCACGGCAGCAGTCCCACCTCCTCTCATCCTAGCAGGCACCAGGTCCCCCCACATGGCCACACCCCAGCTCTGGGTTGGGTCCCACCCCCACAGCCTCTGCCTTGGTCCTTGCTCACCTTGGCCTCCTGCTGATCCAGACCTCCCAGGTCCACCTGAGCTCTGCCACTCTGTCAGCTGTGTGACCTCAGACAAGGGACCTCGCTTCTCTGGGCCTCAGTTCCTTCATGTGTGAAGTTCGGATATAACAGTGCCGACCTCCCCCAGTTATGAACCACAGCGGTAGGACCTGGCGCTAACCGCCTGCTCCTGTAGGTCACCCGCCTCACCTTACTTGCACCTCTGTCCACCTGCGTGGAGGGCTCGTCTTTACAAGTCAAGTTGACGGGAAGTGGCTGACCCACTCCCGCCAGTGCTGGGCAGAGGCATAGCTGCAGCCAAGGGCTGTACAGCCTGCAAATCGGCCTGCCCCTCCACTCGCCACAGAAAGTGTGCTGATCCCTGGGCTAGACCCTCTCAAATCCATCCTCCACACAACCCACAGGAAGTGTTTTCTAAGGAGTGAGTCTGGATTAAAATTCTTCACTAGATCCCAGTGTCTTCCTGCTAAAAGACAAACTCCTCAGCAGGCAGAGAAAACTGCATTTCCTCCTGTGGGCTCCCTGCCCCCCACAACACAATGTGGGGCCATTTCCAATTCCACACTCCACACGTCAAAACCAGGCACGTGGTGCTTCCCACCTGGGATGCTAATCTCCTCTGACCACAGGGAACCATCTAGAAGTCCCTGGCTGTGCCATGGTACTATGCTTCCACTGTCCCTCGCTTCCCCCTCCCGTCTGTCGGTAGTGACGTCCCCCTCCCCCACTAGTAAGCTCCCCTCCAGTGGAAGGCTGACACTGGCCTCAAAGGTACCAGGGCCTGATCCTGGAACCTGTGAACACCCCCTTATATGGAACAGAGACTTTGCAGAGGTGACTAAGGACCTGGAGATGGACAGCGAGACAAGTGGAAGTCTGACAGTGCAAGATCAGGCGAGTATGGTGGGTGTGGCAACACATCCCATCCAAGCTCCAATAATTTTTGACAGGTGATCAAATTTGTGTGTGGTCTCGCATTGTTGCGATAGAACACAACTTCTTTACAATTAACAAGCTCTGGATGTTTCTGGATGATGGATTCGTTCAAACTGTCCAATTTGACGACAGTAAACATTCAAATTGATTGTTTGGTTCCTTGGTAGGAGTTCAAAACCCACCACACCTTTAAAATCCCACCACACTGAGAGCATAACCTTCCTTTGATGAATGTCTGCTTTCAATGGCATTTGAGGTGAATTATCATGTCGAGACCAAGACCATTTGCACACCACATTGTTGTCAACAATCCACTTCTCATCAGCAGTTATCAGTCGCTTCAAAAAAGGATCGTTTTCCTCACGTTTAATGAGCATATCTCAGATGTTTATACGCGCTGTCAAATGAACTTCTTTGAGTTCATGCAGAACCCAAATATCGAGCTTGCTTATGTATCCCAGCTTCTTCAGGTGGTC